ATAATAATAATTACAACAATAACAATAACAATAATAATAATAATTTGAAAAAGCCCTCTTCACCTTGTTAAAGCATAGATTAATTAGAATATTGTTAGAGACAAGATATTGCCCATAAATAGAGGTTTTTTCTTATTTATTTCTTCTCTTAAATTTTTAATAAGAAGTTTCGTTTGATGGCTCCTCTTTGGATATAGAATGTTCGTAGTGTCATAGTGAATGCCTTCCTTTTGTAACTTGATTTTTTTGGCGCCTTTTGGTATTGTTTGAACAGTTCACACTCCAAAAGTACGTCATCAATTGATAGTGTTTTTTTGGCATTGGTCGCACATTTGATTTTTTAAAATGGAGAAATATGTTGAGTATAATCTGAGTCGGGTAATCAAGTTTTGGCCCTCTCCATACGGTACTATAGTTTTTATGCTTGGTAATATCTTTTTAAAGGATGTACCTGTCTTTAAATTTGTCCATGCAGTTTAAACAAATGTTTTCTTTCACTGTTTGGTGTAAAATGTATTTCTAGGGGTCCCAGTTAAGTATTTATATTATATTCTTTCTCTTGCATTCTTCCCTAGTTTGCCAGGTCGTCAGCTATCTCATTCCCAGTTATTCTGCAATGTGATGGTATCCAAATAATGGTAACCCTTTTTTCGTTAGTTAATAGTTGTTCACGTAATTCAAGTATGTCCTGGAGAATGTCAAATCTAGCATGATTTCCACAAGGTTCTCCAAGTGATTGGGCTGCCGAGAGAGAACCAGCGAGTTTCACAATATCCCTGTCCAACTCTGTACTACAAGCCTGTTTCAATGCTCCCTGTATCGCTATCAGTTCAGCAGTAAGAAAAGAAGAAGAATCTGTTATTCGTGAAAACGACCGAATATTTTGGTGGGTTTTTTTTACATAGAACCCTGATCCAGATCGTTCATCTTCCTTGGGTCCATCAGTGAAATAATGGATATGATTACTATATAAATCATGAACATGTTTTAACGTAATAACATCTCAAAAGTAATGTGCATGCCAATGTTGGTGCTTGTATGACAATGTGAATGATTTTACACTTAGCTGCCCCACTATTGATGAGTATTTGTCGTCTCTCTTTTTTATTTTGTTCTTTAGAGTTATGTTCACATTAACGGCACGATATCTCCATACGGGTAGCTCTTGTTTCAGTGTTGTGAACATATTT